CCGAGGAACTGCACTGCTCGGGGCTGTTGGATGTGTCTTCTCGCGGAAATGAAGAGAACCGCGGTGCTCTTCGAGACGTTGATAGCAATCCTCCAGGCCCTGAGCCAGAGCTCAAGTCTACTGAGGTAGGTCTCCAGATACCTGACGAGAAGCGTTGGGCTACGGGACGTGACTACTAGAGCCGTGTCGTCCGCGTATTGTGCTAACTCGACGTGGCGGGACGGTGTGGGTATGTCGTTGACATACAGACTGAAGAGCACAGGGGAGAGAATTCCGCCCTGCACAACTCCAGCCCGCATGGTACGACGTGTGGACATGGCCGACTGGAAGGATGTCTGGAATGTCCGGTCAGCAAGGTAGGAAGAGATGGTTTTTACCAAGTACGACGGGAAGTTGAGGACGGTCAGTTTGTATAGGAGGCCTTGGACCCAGACTGTGTCGAAGGCTTTGGCCACGTCCAGGAAAACCGCGCCGGTTAGCCGCTTCTCATCAAGCCGATTGTCAATCAGCTTTTATACAAATGCAACAATGTCTATGCAACAATGCCAATAAACAGACGCAACAATGTAGACACAACAATGCCAAACGCAACAATGTCAATAATAATACAACAATGCATGAATACAACAATGCCATTAAACAGTTCAACAATGCCAACCCCAACACATCACAATATTATAATGAATGAATCCATGGATGAATGAAGTAATTGATCAGGTTTATAATAGTAATGTATGTATTTTATTATGATGCTAAATTCTCATGAATGATTGGCATTGCTTATACTGTATATGAAGTAAAAGCATGCTTGATCCTGTTGATCTTGGTCTTGTGGGTGTGCTGATGTGTGAACTTGTGGGTAGACACATATGTTTCAGAGGACTGTATTGTCTCAATCTTCAGCCCTGAAGATATGTTCTGAAATGAAGTCCACACAGCATTACAACCCATAAGGTCAACATTGACATCTTCACTGCCATGAGAACCTCATACGTGATTCTATATGTTCTGTACCTCTGTTATAATTTTTTTTTTTTAAATTACAGGTGGACTGGTTCTTCTTATGCCTGCAAAATTGCTCTGTGGAGGTCTGGCTGGTGCAGTAGCACAGAGTGTCTCATACCCATTAGATGTAACAAGACGCAGAATGCAACTTGCCATGATGAATCCAGAGACAAGAAAGTTTGGGTAAGAATTTGCAGGATATGGCTTCTTATTTCAGTGGGGATGAGAAAAGAATTTCTTTAAAATTGTGAATGTGAAACATTTTTCTCAGGCATACCCTGACATATTGAGCCATTACTTATTTGTGTAGTTTCATCTACTATTGTATATATCTACAATATACAGCATGCATGTGCTGTAAATGTAACTCAAGGAATACTTTTAAAAATTGCAATGGAAATATATTTTCAGCATATAATAACATTTTCAATATGGCTCTAAACTCAAGTTTCCTGAGTATGCATGAGGATGGCAGTAAAATTATTCTTGATGAATATAAATGGCCGTTGAGATGTATTGGATACTGTTCTTGTTTTGTGTTCATTCAGGCAGAGCAGAGTTGTTTATTGTGTACAGAGATGAACATTCCAGTAAATGTTAACAAGATTTATCATTTATGTCTTGGTTCTGGAAACACAGCATTGTAAGGAGTGATTAATGTACTGTGTTTAATTCAGAGAAAAACCCCCTCTTTTATGTGTCACAGTTCTTGGAGTTAGTTTCTGATTAACTACCTTCATGATATTTATTTGAACTTGTGGTTTGCATTAAATATTTGTTTCTTTTGAAGAAAATTAATTAGTTTAGAAAATTCTTATTCTTTCATGTCTTACCGAAAGGCATTAATCTTTTCCTAGATATGAATATATTGTTTCTTCTGGTGAGATAGTGCTGGTAATAACTGTGATTGTAATCAAATGCTGTGTATAATGATGATCACAACTGTGGCAGTAATACAATGAAGTCTTCTCATATGATTGGCTGTGAGAGAATGGAATTGTAATCTAGTGTCTCTGAAATGTTGAATTTGAATGTCTTCTCACATGGCTTGTCACCTGAGAAGATTTTGTATTCATTTGGTGTGAAAGATTCTAATCTTAAATAGTCAACAGCAACAATAATAATAATAAAAAATAGATGCTTCCACATGTCTTTACCATGTTGTATGTTAAAAGGTGAAGCATTATTTGGAAATGAAAGAACGGAGGTGTTCTGCGTTTAACAGCTAGTAAATGAACCGGTGGAATGATGTTCTGTTGCCATTGCCTTCTCTGATGTGACATTAGTTATGCTGAGTTCAGCCACTGGCCTAAACAGATCGTGTAAACACCTGCATAATTTGAAGACTTTTTTTTTTCTTCCGTGACTTCATAAATCCACAAGCTGCAACTACCTCCAGTCACAGTTCACTGTTGCTAGTTTGCTACAGACATGAACCAAAAGCGTAGAAAGATAGTTCCTGTTACATTGTAGTTATCAGCATCACATCAGAAAGTGGTATGGCCAGTTGACAATGTATGAAATATCAGAAAAACTGTAGGTGGGTGGGAGAAGACAAAAACTGATTTCTGTATTGTGGCAGATACTTCTGGATCTTGCTGTACTGTCCATATATAGCTGTTTTGGCTGTGTCGTCACACTTTCTCACTTTTCTGTGCTAAGGAATGAATGCACTCTGAACTTTCTTCATACGTAGATGTGTGTGCACTGTGTACACTAACTGCATTTGAGGTTTTCATATTAGTACATGGAAATGAATAGAACAAATTTAAAACTATAACATCTTTTTCATTTCTAATGAAAGATGTAATTATGTTGTATGACTGATTATTTCTTGTTTGTTCTAACTCTCTTCTTTTTCATGATTTCCTTTTCTTCTCTGATGGTCACACTGGGATGCTACAGACGGTATGTTTTGCTATAAATCCTAATGTTTACACATGACACACCTGTTGTCTACTTATATGAAGTTGCATACATGTAGGTCTGTCATAATTTCCAGTTATAATAAGCTCAGATATTAGTAATTTAAGCTCTTTCGTTGTGCTTTATTTTATCACTGCTTTCTAAAAGAATGTAATTTTAAGGTAAACAGAACTCATGTTGATGGTTAGGTTACTATATACATTTATAAATGAAAATCACAAAAATTCTGACACTAATCATGTACTCACATTATTTATAAAACATTTTTTCATAATCTTGTAACTGATTAAAATTGAGAACTGTTTCTATAAGAGTCTAAATCTCTCAGTACACAAGTAAGAAAGAACATTATGTTAGTGGCTAAGAAGTTGATATGTAAAGCCACTTTACATTAAGATGTTGGAGACAATACAAATCATCCTTATTGTCTGATGTTAACAGTTTCTGTTTTATCTGTTTGTGTAACTGTTTAATATAATGGACTTTACAAATGAATAATTTGAGTGTAGATTTTTAATTTGTCAAGCAAATGTTATATTCTGAAATCGGTAATTTCACTATATTTACTGTTCGGTACTGTAATTTTGAGACTTACAAGGAATGCAGGAAGTCCAAAGCGTTAAAGGCTACTGCATAGCAGATGCTATCCTTCCTCCTCCACCCCAATTCCTCACCCTGCAAGTCTCAAGATTACAGTCGTGAACAGTATTTAGTCCTGACAATCACTGTTTGGGTTGGATGCATACAATTCATAGCACAGTTTGCTCAAAAAACATTAATTTTAATATGCAGTCTTTCACACAGTACAAAGTCATAACACTTCACAAACTTAGCACAAAAATAATTCTTCATACCAAATGAATTTCACTTTGATTCTGATATTATTTTGATTTCTATTTCAGAATGGGGATGATGAGTACAATTTTTCTCATTTACAAGGAGAATGGTGTGTTCAGGGGTCTGTATAGAGGTATGAGTATCAACTACTTGAGAGCTGTTCCCATGGTTGCAGTGTCCTTTACAACATATGAAATCCTGAAACAGATGCTGAACCTTGACACAGGGATGAAGCTTTAAAATAATTCAAACTCCAATGTAGGTGATGTAGTGGTCTTCTAGGTTGTAATACCAGTGTGGCCATGTAGGTGGTTGCTAGTGTATCACTTTAATCTTCAGGTTGAAGATGGAGGTGATACATTCCTCCAAATTTAACATTTTACAAGACCACATGGTATCACAACCGAGAAGACCACAATTGAATTCTTCATTGCTGTAAGAACATCAAAATCTCAGGCTAGAGGTGAGATATATTTTTATTTCTTGTTAGTAGTTACCTCTTGAAAAGGTTTTGTTCCCCTAATAGATTTCTTGTCTATCAACATTTGCTAGTAAATCAGTCAATTTATGAACTGCTGAATTCTATAATATATATATATATGCACAAATAAAATATGAATTTTAGTTTTAACAAACAGGGCTTAAAATATAATGCAATCTCATCCACAAATAGTTCAATAACACTGATTTTATGCATACATTTGTGCTTTTTAAACAATTAATGCTGTTTTCCACAATATTAAATATGAAAGCAGCAAATTTAACATTGCAGTATAAAGGAGTACAAAAACCAGTCTGCATTGTGCTGATGTGTGGTGTAGTGTTACTGTGCAGAATTGTAATATTTGTTATTTATTTTAATGAGGATGTTAAATTTGAATTCTTAATGATAGAAGAGTTTTGTCATATATATTTGGATCCAGTCTGCAGTGTAAGGAACTATAGAAATACATTTTGTACACAAATTCACAAAACAAATATAAAAAAAAATTACAAACATATCTGTTTGTTGAAGATTGTTGTCTTCTGGGTTATTGCGCCGTATAGTCTCGTAGATTTTATCGCTGTGAAAACCTCAAATCCTACATGTCTGCCTGTTGATTCATATTTTATTTTAAAATGCTGTATTAGGAGCTACTCTCATTATTTACTTTTAAATTACAGAATTTAGGATTACAGACGTGAACTATATAGCAAATGATTAGGGGAAGATGAGGGCCTATTTATTCAAAACCAGGATATGTAAAGAGGGGGGAGGAGGGAAACTTGCATGCATGCATGCACACACACACAAAGAACAGTTATTTGCATAAGGAGTGTTCTCTGCAAATGGCATCATTTTGTGCTTATTGTTGTTTTCTTTTAAGTTTAATGTATTTACCTTATGAAATTGAAGGACACTTCATATTCATCCTTGTGCCAAATATATGGTCTATAATTGAAGTTTCTAAACTGGAGCCTGAATCCAAATACATGTGAAAGATAATTAGATTTTATGAAGTGTGTAATATGTAGTTTGAATTGAATATGTATTGACTGTTGGCTCTTAACAACTTTTTATATGAATATGCACTTGTTATGTAAGTACTTGTTACTCCTAAATTGATTACTCTAGCTCATAGGATATCAGAACTGTAGCTGATAAACTTGTGTAAGGGAGTTTTAAGTAACTGGTCTATATAGCTAAGATTTTACTAATAAGAAAGTGTGTGGCCAAGAGGTAATTCCAAATTTATGAAAAGTCAAAATGCTGTACTGCAGCTTGTTCTACCCATTTTGACTACTGCAGACTGCGAGATGGCCATTTTTGTGCACAAAACTATGCAGTATCAAAGAACAATATGTGAGCGTAAGCTAAGTGCTGTAGACTAGTGTTTTCTATTTGTTTATTATATGTGGTGGACTGACTATATATCTCTAAGAACTTTTGTAAAGTATTTTATGAAAATTTTACACAATCAACTATGAAAACTTATGAAGAGCTAATAATATGTTTAAAGCTTTTCATACTACTCATGTATAATGATGATGATGATAGCTATTTCTTTGTGTTTAAAAAGTTAATTTCCTGCTTCTGTTGGCAACTTCAGTCAGCTCTTGTAACAAAATAGAATATTTCTTTTATGCTTCAAAGCAAGTAGGATTGTTATCTCCGTAACATTATTGGATTAGTCCAAGTACAGGGATGAACTAAACACATTGCTGAAGTCCAGAGTTTATGAACCTTTGTCCAAAAATCCTACAGCTAGTCAATAGAAAAGTACACCAACTCCTTTTCAAACACAAAACTGCTCTTCCTGTCAAACTGAAAGGCAAGCTGACACGATATCCCAGCAAACCTCCACATTTGTATGGTGTTTCTGAGATTCATAAACTGAATATTTCTTTTAGTCCCATAGTGAGTTCTATTGGTTCACCATGTTATGCTTTGGCTGGATTCCTGCATAACACACTGAGTCCTCTTACCAGAAAATCAGAACTCTTGATGAAGAATTCAGACCACTTCATACAGTTGTTAAAATCAGTAAATCTTCAAAATTCAGATGCCCTCATATGCAGTGGTGCTGTTGGTTTCTTCACTAACATGCCACTTGACAAAACCGTAACAGTCATCAGGGTTACATATCACAATGGTCACATTGGTGGAATGGTCTGCTTTGCAGGTGATAAAAACTGAAGTTTTTCAATGATTGGACTAGCCTTTTGTAATGGGCTCAAAAGAGTAGGTGCCTCTCTCTCTCCCTTACATCTAAGGACTTATCCAGGTCTCTAAATGTAATCCAGACTTCTTTCCTATGTCTATTCTTGTCTCTGTTTTAAATTTGATTGATAATACACAATTCATTATGTAATAGTATGTTTAATAATCCAAGAGAGTTATTAATATGAATTATCACTAGAATTAAAATGGCTGATAGTTTCATTGCAAAGGAATTGTTGTATATGCTTGCACTATCTTTTTCTTTCCAACAGACTTTCATTCCTTTGAAAGAGAAGTTTACATTATTTGACATTGCAGGCATCTCTCTTTGATGACTAGTAGTAGCCTAAATTAATGTGTATGGAAATTAAGAGAATTTACTTTCTGTGCAGTGGATTGTTTGTTTTCACCCGACTACTCTTACTAATTAGCATATGGATTCATCTTGTAGTACTTATTTTAATGTACCTTAAACCAAATGCTGCCACGGTGGTCTAGCGGTTAGAATGCTGGCCATGTAATCCTGGGGTCCCGGGTTTGATTCCCAGCGGTGCCTGAATTTATAACTTGTGTTGGGCAAGGCCGTGGTCTAGGCAACACACGAGTTTTCCTCCGGGGTTTCTCTGTGGCATCCCAACAATTACTCCATACACACAGAAGAAGGCAATGGCAAACCACTTCTGTATCACCTGCCTAAAAAAACATATATGAACAGGTCCCAGTCTGAGGAAAGGATGGAAGGATTCTGTTCATAATATGTTGCCAACGTCCTGTAAAGGAGACGGCATAATAAAGAAGAAGAAACCAAATGTTTTTATAGGTGTCTTCTGGGATGTGCCATATAATCCGGTAGAAATTTACCCATGTTTCAGAGGTACATACTGCCTCAGTCATCAGGGCCTACCAGATTACATGACACATTCCAGAAGACAGCCATATTCATACTCATCACCGTGAGAGTCTGAAATTTTGGAAATATTTTTCAGTCTCATTGTAATCATTATGGAATTGTGATAGCAAAACAAGCTGTGATTCCCATATATTAATTTATTTTCATTAACAGAGGTACAAAATACAGGAAGAATTACATGCAAATCATTTGGTTGTGCAATTGTTGATCACATCTAAGTATTTTGATGGTTACTGTAAGTAAGGTACACAGTAAATTATAATTTTTATTGTGTTGTACATAATGATATGGGCGATGTCAATTTCCGAAGTTAAAGAAATGAACTATGTTGTTACATTTCTTTTTACACAGTCAGAGCATCTTGTATTTAAAAGTATTTTGTCACTGTCCGATGTTGTTATTAGGTATACACTGGTAAAGGAACATAATGTATCTCAAATGTAATTTTATAAATAATGTTACAGGTATTATTAATGTTGCATAATTATCTACTGTATAACCCTTCTATATTGTTTGGATCTTTTACTGTAACTCGGTATATCTTTATATTCTTCTGCCTTGGTCCCATTTGTGCTGTAATTGTTGCATATCCCCCAGTTACCAACAAGTATAAAATCATATTGTTTTTTTCCATGAGGTGAGAAACTTCAGACATGATTTAATTTTTATTTCATCCCAGGTCTTAGTGTGAATAATTACGATAGTATATATTTGTGGAAGTAGTGCATATCCTTCTGTATCTACATTTGTAAATTTGTATAATGTTGTGGGATTCATCAATAGTGTATGGCTCACCAAGTCTATTTAATTGGCAATATTTTATACCCTCTTGAAATTTTAATCTCCATCATTACTTCTGTTAAATCACACAAACCCTTTTGCTTTACTTTATTCACATTGTTTTAGGACATCTGTGAGAAGGCCCTTTACAGCCTGCCAGGTTATCACTTTTATCGCACATACCTCCTGTAATAATTTGATAGTTATATCCTGTCACCTTGTCAGGCCACTTTACAACCTGACATGTATGTGTATAGGTATATTTTAATATAACTTTGGATACAGACATGACTTTAATTCCACTCATTAAGTATACTACAAAGTCACTGAGTACATACAATTGCTGATTGTAAAGTTCTAGGACTGAATTTGTTGCATCTCAATAATACAGACTGTAAGGACACTACATAACATATTATATTGGTAAGTCTTCCTGAACATCATCAAAAAAAGATGAATGTGAAATGTGCTTATTGAGAGCAGGACAGTTAAAAGCTTGTGATGAAACCAGGGGGAAAAGTAAGTATGACTGTTAGCTTTTACAAAATAAATCCAGAATTTGACCATTTTGAATGCCTAGGTAATTATCCAGCTTGGGATTCTCCTTGAGGGAAACCTTTATGGATGGATGGACATACATGTATGTGGTCTCTTTGTACTTTGCATCTCAGTTACATTTTCCAGGTTTCAAGAAATCAGTTTCCTTGGTTGCTGATGAACCATGATTTTCACAAAGTAATTATTTTACATAGATTCTTCAGAATCCATTGAGGCTAACTTGGGAGAAAGTGACATCGTTTCGACTCAGTGGTAAAGCTCTTACAGCCGTGTAGTCTTTGTAAGGTGAGTTACTTATGTCAGTGTGACCACAAACTTTACGTTACATTAAGGTTCTTTCATAAGCAGGAAGCCATGAGCCAAGATTTTGCTTCACACAGACGCACATTACATATACATATGTGCTGTCTAAAATACAACCCAATAATACTACTACAGT